GTATCGCAGCACTTCCACAGGAGCGCAAGTTGGCAGTTGCGGAGGCTCCAAAGGCGCTACTACCTTTTGGAGCAGGATGCACTGCCATTTTTGCAGCTGCATGTGCTACTTTCTCAGAGAGCGACGACCTAGAAAAACGACAATTGGATTTACATATGTTGGACTACACCGCAAGAGAAACATGTGAGAACAGACGCACTAGAAAGGCAAACACTCCAATCCAGGCCCCCTGTTACCTGCAGAAACCAATATGTCATATGAGTCATATGTGAATGTTTTGACTGATTTGTTTCTCTCCTCCCACTGAGGTCACTGTCAAGCTATTCGAAGAAGATCCAACCAACGCAGGTTGGCTTGATCCCATGCACAACTGATTTTTGCCTTTCTTGTCCTCACTCTGTTGCCTCTCAGCAATCTCTGCTTCCACTTGCCCCATGACTCTCATGGAGCTAACAAAACGAGGCTTTCTTGCTGCACTTGGCCGATTTTTTTGTGGCTGTGCAGCAACTTGGCAAAAAGTGTGAGGGAATAGTGAGCTGCGGTGAGCTTGGGCACTTGGAACTTGAAGCTGTTGCGAATTTGACAGGTCTGTCAGTCTGCCAAGTGTCAAGCTCGTGACTTTCGTGGTAAGGTCCTCGGAGCGGTGGCAACCAATGACCAAGCTTTGTCTCAGGCTCAGACATCCCCTATTTGGTGAAACCCTGTAAGCTGAGTTTGGTAAACGAGCCTGTGGTCATAGTGCAGACATGTGCAGACATGTGCAAGAACCGTGTGAAAATCGCTGAGGTTAGTGAATTCCAAGCTTGCTCCGCAATTGCGAAACCCCTTCGAGGCGAGCTGAGAATTCCTCTGGGGGTAGGTAATAAATCTTTCGAATCGGTTGCAGACTGCAGCTGGACTTGCAAATAGCTAGCAGCTTGTGTTTATTGGGAGTGTCGGGAGTGTTTGAGACTTCCTAGTGAACTGTTTGAAACGATACATATGCATGTGTCCAGAATTTCGGCCACAGCCACATACACACACTTGCTCAGAACAGTCTTTGCGAATTCTGATGTGGAATGCATCTGACGTGCAAAAACACCAACAATAAAGTGACACGAAGAATGAACATTTATACAATTATATATAGACGTATAATCACAGTAGACATTGATCGTATAAAACAACAGCGATAAGATATATGTCCCCCCAGCTGCGACTTATATGCGCCCAGGGGCGGGACTATACATACATATATATATATATTAAGCAGGTACGTTTACACAGGAACATTGCAGCGTCTTCATTGGCCGCTGACTGCAATGTTCCCCAGCGGCCCCCTGCAGTAATATGAAGTTTTACATCTATACAGATGGCACACACACACACACACACACACACGCCCCGCAACAGCAGGGCAAATGAAATGACAATGAAAGTGAAATGAAAATGAAAATGACATGAAAGTTAACTTAACGAGGACGCGAAGAGGGGAACGCAAAAGAGGAGGGAAAGAGCAAACACCAATAGAAACACACCTGGCCTAGAACGGGCAAACCCTGAAAAGGCAAGGAAAGCAAAAACGGAGGCCGACGGAAACGGAACCAGACCAGCGGAGGAGGGGGAGGACGGAAGCGCTTGAGCCAACCTACCATGGCGAAACCTAAGCCTACCGCGGCACGCGCAGGACCCAACCTACCTGGAGAGGGGAAGAACACGTGAGGTAGGGGGCCCATGGGGAAAAAAGTTAGTGACATGATGCTTCCACACTGCAGTGATAAGGCTCAAAGGCCCTCCGCTGTCAAGTCACAACCCTGTAAACGGCTTAAGTGTTCAACCCTCGAATGACGTGCACATTTGAACCGTACCAGCGACCATAAAAAGAAAGAAGGACCACACCTAAAGTCATGGCCTGATACCATAATGTTCGAAGGAAGTTTAGAAGTCAAACTTCCGACAATATGGACAGATGAAAAGCAGAGAAGGGAAGAGGCAGAGAGAAGAGAAAGATTAGAAGAAAGAAGAGTAGAAGAGAAAGAGAAAGAAGAAAGAAGATGCAGATGCGAGAAAAGGTAGGAAAGTCGCGAAACACTGTGTTTTTCCAATGATTTGGGGCTCCGGAGGGTCGAAAAGTAGGCTCGCTAAAGCGGCGGATGCGGAGCCAGCTGGCCAGATGAGAGATGAAAAATTGCACGCCGTTGTGGCGCGAAGCACATTTGCAAGTCAAAATGTACAAAACACCTGGGTCTCGGAGAACTTTTGGAAGTTGAGATGTCGAAAAAGTGCACGCCGTTGTGGCGCGAAGCACATTTCGAAGTCAACATGTTAAAAACACCAGGGGTTCGGACCACTTTTGGAAGTTGAGATGTCGAAAAAGTGCACGCCGTTGTGGCGCGAAGCACATTTCGAAGTCAAAATGTACAAAGCACACCATGTACGGACCACTTTTGGAGGTTCAGATGTCGTTTCGTGTGGCAGGCGCAAGGGACTGTGGACCTAGTCAAAAGTGAGCAAAACGTGAGGGTTTTGTAGCATTTCCAACTACAACCCACTACACCACACTACACTCCAATACATTACACTACACTACAACTACAACTACACCTTCACTACATTCTACTAGACTACACTCCACTACACTACACTACACTACACTCAATTACACTCAATTACACTCAATTACACCACACTACACTACACTCCACTACTCTACACTGCATTACACTACACTACATTACACTGCACTACATTACACTACTCTACACTACCTTCCACTACACTACATTACACTACACTACACTCCACTACACTATATACACTTCACTACATTACACTACAACTACAAGTGCGCAACTACACTCCACTACACTCCACTACACTAAATTACGCTACACTACACTACACTACATTACCCTACACTACACTCCACGACACTGCACTACATTACACTACACTCCACTACACTACCTTCCACTACACTTCACTACATTACACTACACTACACTCCACTACACTCCACTACACTCCACTACACTCCACTACACTCCACTACACTCCACTACACTCCACCACACTCCACTACACTCCACTACACTCCACTACACTCCACTACACTCCACTACATTCCACTACACTCCACTACACTAAATTACACTACACTACACTACACTACATTAGACTACAGTACACTCCACTACACTACACTACATTACACTACACTACACTACACTACCTTCCACTACACTTCACTACATTACACTACACTACACTCAACTACACTACAACTACAACTACAACTACACTCCACTACACTCCACTACACTCGACTACACTAAATTACACTACACTACACTACATTACACTACACTACATTCCACTACACTTCACTACATTGCACAACACTACCTTACACTGAATGACACTGCACCACAGATAGACAGGTAGACAGATAGATGGATAGATGGATAGATAGATAGATAGGCAGATAGAAAGATGGATAGATGGATACATGGGTACATAGATAGATAGATAGAATAGAATAGAATAGAATAGAATAGATAGATAGATAGATCGATAGATCAATAGATCGATCGATAGATAGATAGATAGAAAGATAGGTAGATAGATCGATAGATCGATAGATACATAGGTAGATAGATAGGTAGGTAGGTAGATAGTCAGAGAAAGAGAGAGAAAGAGAGGAGACATCAATCACCTTTCGATCCATCAGTGGCTTCGCTCTGCCATCCGTGATTCACAACAACCAACCTTTCCTATAGGTTTCCTATTTTTGAAACTTCCGCCACCGCCTTGTGCGGTACTACTGGTAAAAAAACACAAAAAAGGTGAGGCCCAGAACAGCGGCAGGTTGTTTCAACACACGACCGACAGGTGAAAAGTTGAAAAAAGGCCAGCTGTTTCACATTACTTAAACGAACTACTAGGTTGAAAAAGGTGAAGCCAAGAACTGCGGCACGCCGTTCAACACATCGACCGACAAGGTGAAACCGAAAAAAGGCAAACTGTTTCACTTTACTTAGACGAATTACTAGGTTGAAAAATGTAAATTCAGAGATCAGGTCGAGGATTCACTCTCCTACCTAGAAAGGTATTCCCCGAAGGGTTCATGCCACCGTGACGAATCCAGCATGAATCACACACTTGCTCAGAACAGTCTTTGCGAATTCTGATGTGGAATGCATCTGACGTGCAAAAACACCAACAATAAAGTGACACGAAGAACGAAAATTTATACAATTATATATAGACGTATAATCACAGTAGACATTGACCGTATAAAACAACAGCGATAAGATATATGTCCCCCCCAGCTGCGACTTATATGCGCCCAGGGGCGGGACTATACATATATATTAAGCAGGTACGTTTACACAGGAACATTGCAGCGTCTTCATTGGCCGCTGACTGCAATGTTCCCCAGCGGCCCCTGCAGTAATATGAAATTTTACATCTATACAGATGGTGCACACAAACACACTGCAAACTATTCCCATGATGTTCGTTGTTCCATACCTTTTTTTAGAACATAACCGAATTGACTTGCATGCGCAGCCAAACGGATTTAATGGCATTGCTTTTGGTGGAGACTTTTGCGGCTTGAGCACTCCGTTGATCCTGATTTCTCCTTTTGTCTCCTGTGGCACTCCTCAACATCCTCACGCCAATGTCATGGTCGCGCATGTCTCCCAAAAGCACGTAGTACTCCACACTGTCAACACTCCTCGCAAACATTTTGCAGAACTACCTACACAAGATTCAGTCGGCACAATACATTATCGACCACTTTTCTGTGGTGTACGTACCCAGGGCATTCGCTGAAAATGTGGCTCTGTGTGTGTGTGTGCGCCAGCAAAGCCAAACATGCGGAACTACATTTTTCCTTTATATTGTCGACTTATTGTTCTTGTGCTGACTAGACATCATATCAAAATGGCCTTTTTGAGATGTCCTTGGCATCAGCAAAAACATTTTGGAAATCCTTGGGATGCTCTCTAGGATGACGACGATACAGACGAGATCCGAGAAATGGAGGACCGTGAGATTGAGGCTGGTCACATGCTTGCACCTGGACACCTTTCACGGCATAGTGGGCATAGTGGGCATAGTGGGCATAGTCAGCATAGTCAGCATAGCATGCAGAAGCAGTGTTCAAGAGAATGCTGAATCACGTTGAAGTGTCACAGGTGAAGCTACAAGACCGAGTCCTTCTGGCAGTCTTGGGTGTTGTCGTTTCTTTGCTTCCTCTTGCACTGTCGCTTGACTTGAAATTGGCATTCACAGAAACAAAGTAGGCCTTGCACAAACGCAGCACATTCCTGTTTCACCACAGCAGTGAGGATACCTGATGCTAGGAATCGCTAATCACACCCTTCGAATTCTTTAGAATCTTTCGTGCGAGGTTTGAGAAGGCATACACAATTGAAGGACTTACAGAAGCAGCTGATGAGATTGCGGTGGTTGTGTCTGCAAGTGCTGCCGCAGTCGCGGCTTTGAGTCGAGGGCCAAGAGACCACTGACAGATTTAGGACAATTTGTCCAATCAATAAACTAATTTTGCCGCTGGAATCATCTTGTGTCATCCTTGTGTCTACTTTGAGAGTTGTTTGCCACGCCTTATCGAGGCTTTCTAGTTGCAGAAAAGAACTTTGCTGATGCCGAAAGACGAGTTGCGGCACAATCCCGGCAGTCAGCCCTGTCGGAGCTCTTTTTCGCTCAGGTGAGCACCTGCCAGACATGCGATTTCTAAGCTGCTGAAACATGTCTTGAACATGTTGACATTCGTTGCAGGCACAGGCGGATTCTGCCATTTTGGGAGCCAATACTGCTATGAGTGCCAGCAGCTTGGGGATTGCCTCCGTTGCGGCAGAATTCTCCAAGACGCTTGCTTCTGTCTCAGTGTGGCCTGCTGCCCGGAGCTTACTTTCGTTGCATTTCAATCTCATCTCATGCTTCTTATGTTATTTGTGTGACGGACCATGCATTTTTGCTCGTTTCTGTCAAGAATTGATACAGTTGACCTGACATTGGCCTGATATTGACCTGATAGAGACACAGGTGGCTAGCACTTTCTGGTCCACGGTGAGTGCAGTGACTTCCCGCTCTGAAGCAGATGCCGCGTACCTTGAGCGTGAAGCAGCCAAACGTGCCATGGCAGGTGTCGAGGCAAATGTGGACACAATCGATGCTGCGGTCAGCGAGTTCAAGGATCTTCAACGTGATTTTACACAAGACGACGTCACGGACGATATTCGTAGTCAGTTGAAGGCCTTGGACCTAGGAGAAAGACGGGAGTTCCGTGGATTGTCCAGAGATCAACGACGCAAAGTCCATCTGCTTGCCGGAGAACTTGGCATGCTTTCGCAGTCCTTCACCTCTGCAGGTTCT